TTTGTTCAGTAGGATAATATTAATTAAAGCTTAGATAATTTTTACCCACACTATTAGGAACTATTTATTGTGAAGTTCAGAATTTTTTTTTTATTGAAATATGTACGTTATATTCGCTTTAGTATAATAACTATTTATAATATACATGATATATAGTGTAGCTTGGTCTAATGTTTTATTTATTGTTTTCCGAATTTTACCATAATAAATTACAATATAAAAGACTTTTACCACATGCACCTTTGTATTAAAACGAATACATACATTTTCAACGATAGAAGCGTCCATGACCTCTTTGTAGACGGAGCATGTAGACCATTTATAGGCGTGTTAGATCTGTAGCGACAAGTCGGCTAGCAAAAACTTCCGTCTACGCCCATTCAGACGACACCGCGATAGCACGGCCACCCCTCTACACCCCACAAATCAGCTCGTAGTAAATGTGCAGTGCGGCGCGGACGCAACCCGCCTAAAGCGCACACGCGCCGTTCCTCTGTGTTAACGGCGTTGATTAATCCCGTAGGGTCGCTAGCCTCGAGGTAGATGTTTTCTTATTACGCACTTGTTGTTACTGATGGTGAGTAGATATGTAGCGAATTTGATTTATTTGTACCAAATACCTTAAGCTCGCTCTTCGTGAATACTCGCATTTGGTTGCGTAAGTGAATACGAATTTATATTGTTTTAATGTTTCTTGTACTATGACAGCAAAAATAATAAAATGCTTACAAGTTTTGTATTTAATTATTAAACTTTACTTGTTAAATTTCCCCAAATTAAAGAAAAAAATATTGAAATCGATTTACTCAAAGTAAATTACTTAACAATATGCGTATACAAGTTGAAATTTTATGATCCGTAAATAAATTAAAGCGTTCCAATTTTAAATATTATCAACACATAAAATGTCGGTGTAATTCAAAAAATAACAAAAACCTCCTTTGACAATGTCGTTATATTGAAGGATACTTAGAGGAAACATAACATTTAGTTTCAGGTACCTTTTAACAAATTGGTAAATCGGCACACCAGTATTCGCGTATAAAAAGTATTTTATTTTAAATTAACTTCTTTCACAGTTAAACTTTTTTTAAGTAACGTAACTTTACTCCTAATTACACTACCACTAAAATATACTATAATTTAGAAATCTTAACTCACTAATTCTTTTTTATATAATGTGAATGAAGTTCAAGCCAAACTCAAAATGAAACATACATACTTAACTAATAAACATTTTATTTCAGATGTATTGGATATTGAAGGAAGCGCCTCAGAAAATGAATATCACTCGCGACTAGGGTCTTGGCGGTCTAGTTGGTGTTCCCTTCCTTACTGGCCTGCTAAGTCCCAAGTTACGGTGGTACAAACAACGGAGGATGGAAGATACTGTCACAAGGCTTCCAAAGTCCCAGGTTACAGTGGTCAACGACAATATAGCACGCGAACCAAAGGACGGAAAAAACGGTCACAAATAAGGTTTTGCAAAAAGCAAAAGGGCGCAGTATAGGACGATGAATGCAGATGTGAATGTAAGTCGATGGATGCAGGTGGCTCAAGATTGTGCTTCGTGGCTATATGTGGACTCTAACAGGCTGAAACTGTGATGATGAGAAAGTAAAAAACAGATGTTTCAATAACTTTAAGTTTTGAAAATTATCAATAGCTTCAACAACTTTGTAATGCTCTGACTTCAAAATGATGAGTTCAACGGTCTTTCCAAAACCGGATAAAATGAATATAATTTTAATGCAAGTCAGTGTTTTCAATTTGTGTAACTTAAACACTGAATTGCATCTAACGAGGTAGGTCGATACTAGGTCGAATTGTGTCAGACAAAACGACTTGTTGTAATAACATTCTAGATGCACTAACATCGGCGAAATGTGCACGCATCCGCAGAAATGAGATTGCCGATAAAATGTACGACAGTGCAGCGATAACGAGATCGCGAAGGTCAAATGGATCAGACAGCTCGTATCGATAGTCGATAACATTGGAGACCAAAGGTTTTCCAAAGCGATCGATATCAATAACCGAGGTCTGAGGTGTCCGAGTGTGTTGTCATGTTAACGCCATCCGTCAACCTTCTAAGGCGTTTTGTTTGTTCTGTTCTTTAGGTTCTAAAGCCGATGTTCAGTATTAAAACAACGACTCAATAATGTTATTCGAAATGTGAACCAAGTAGTTGTTTTTCTTCTTTTTTTTTTTTTTGAAATTATTCATTAACATCCCGATAAAATTTCGTCTTACCAAAAATTACAGTACCAAAGGTAGAGTTGCTTATTTTTTTATTCTGTTACTGAATCGTATAGATACGTAATAATTTTTAACAAAAAAAAACCTATCAAAATCGGTGCATAAACGACGAAGTTATCCATGAACACACATAAAATATATATATATGTATATATATATATACGACGGTCGAATTGAGAAACCTCCTGTTTTGAAGTCGGTTAAAAATAAATATAATTAAACTTAAACTTGTATATGAAAAAGCTTACATTTCTACTACCGATTGAATTATCCAGTTATCATGTCTTTATTGATAAATAATATACAAAATGTCGATGTCTTTTTTTGCGAACGCCTAACAATTTAATCCAATAAGCGCGTTGATGTCTAATACTAGTAAAACCTACATCGTAGCACACAAGTGCCTTGTTAAATTTATTAACACGAATATTAACGGAAATGAGTCATCCATAATGCTGTTCTGGCTAATGTTCATGGATTAATTTATTCCACGTCACGTAATGCTGCCAAATTGAAATTATTGTTTCCTCTATTCAATGTACCTCTTTAACATGCATTTTCAATCGTCATCGACTGTAATCCAATTAAAGTCGTGGCAGCTTGACAAAACCATTTGTCCATTAGCGTACTGGATAATGGTCCACATAACATTTACCGTAAATTTAATAAAATAACAAATTACTAGAAAATTGTGCCCAAAATATAGGTAATGTCGAACTTACCGTCACAACATTAAGATTTTACTTATGCTCGACGAATGTTCATGAAAGATATTTAATAAATAAAACCACTAAGAAATACAGAGACATTTTAATGCACAGTTCAAAACGTCTTTTACCGGGGCCATAAATCATACCAGCGATAAACATTCCGTAAGGTTCAAAGGGTTTCGCTGCCCATTTGCGGCGTACATCAAAGAGCGACCGCTCAACATGACACCCCCATTTAATTAACACATATTGATGTACAATGGCACAATTAGTACGCTGCGCCCTTTACGGAACTATTTAATAAGGCTTTAGACAACTGTCCGTAACAGACTACACAATTACTTGGATGCAACGTTAATAAATTGGTTAAATTAGCAGCGTTGAAACGACATAGTGAGCAATCCACTGCGGAGTCGGCTGCATAGATCGTGTAGATATATTATATATGTGCATATAATGTAATAACCATTATACAGGCCTAAATCAAACTTAGAAAGCGTACTATCACGGATTTATTGTTTTTAATTTTGTTCTGTGGGTCTAGTAATAAATAATTGTAAAAATTTATGTACTCATTTTGCAGCAAATAATAGTGAGATGATTTATTACTGACCCAGTATGAAACCTTTATCATTTTGAGTTGTATAGACGAAAACGGTGAATGGATGAAAATGGTGGGATATGGATGGATATGAACGGAACGTAAAAAACTACATCTTTTTACCATATTTTAATATGCATACAATGCCTGCTGCACGTAATATATTAATAATTATATAAAAAAATTGATTTGCAACATGTATATTAACTTAAATCAGTGTAAACTATTTTTTAAAAAATAAAAATTTAAAAATTTTGTTTATAAAATTCTACTATATCCTACCTTCTTGCAATCTACTCTAATATGTGAATATGTGAGCGGTATAAATATGTATACAGATTTTTATCTCAAAACCTGTTGAAGTTTGGAGTATATGAAAAATGTGTTCATAATGATTTTGTACAATTTTACCATACATTTTATTTTTGTTTGTAAATCGATTTTACTATTTATTCAATTGAACTAATAATAAGGTTTAAGATATTATTCAATATTTAAAATTTAGATTCCGAATGATAAAAAAATCCTGTTCATCGCGACTCTTTATCTCTAAATCTTGTTAATTAAGATGTTAAAATAGTGTGTGTATACCAAGATGTCATTACAGTGACTATTAACACGCGATACCACGAAGAAATAGTCGCCGCATAGCTGGGGTTTCAAAGCGGTATGTGCCTTCCTTCATGCAATGCCCTTGGAAATCCCAAACGTGCTGGCTATAAATCCCAACGAGAACTCCGAACTCAATACTACGAATTTCTGCATTAATTAAGGGTGGACCCAAAAAATATTGATTTTACATGAATAAACAATGATCTGAACCTGTATTAAATTGTTTTATTTTTTTTTTCTTTTTAAATTTCCTTGAAAATATAATATCATGGATATTAATACTTTTGGCTAAGGCTCTACGATCCATATTCAATTGGTAGTACTAACATAACAATAAACAAATTAATAACTAATTAAAATACATAATAATTGTTTTATTAAGCATAAATCCTAAAGATACGATCAGAGAATCGCCTCCATCAGTGAAAGCTTTTATTCTTTTTGACATTTTAAAAAACAAATTTATTTCAGATTCAATATAAGTAATAAGCGTTCTTCCTTTGAAAATATGCAGTGACAAATAAAAGACGACGTTGGTATACCTGTTCGTTCATACGGGGTGTTATTTATTGGTTGAAATACGTGTAAAGTTCCACCTTTATCAACACAAAAGTTGCACTGAAAACAATAATAAAACGAGTTTATGTGATGTTTCAATTCGTAATCAAGTAGAATTATATCCTTGTTCACATGATTCTAGAAATGAAAGTAAAATTTATTGTGGTGTAGTCATTTTTTACGTTTATCTTTATACCTGTAAGTGGCGATTCAGAGAAATGAACACACACATGATTGACAACACAGTTTTATTAAGTTTAGTCCCAAACATTGCTCTCTTTAAAGGCGGATACACAATTAGACTTGGCTTCGCTGTCGAATCTCTCTATGTCGATCTCTTTCTTTTCTTTCGCTGCGTCGCGTGTCTCCTCGCCCTCGATCTCGGCTTTCCGCCGACCATTGGAGATGGCTTCTGGGCGTGTCCTCGACTGGTCCGAGTCGGACCGAGTGAGTTCGCTCTTCTTCGGTGAGGACTCGGAATCATCGATCTGGAACCGAGGGCGGTGGCTGAACACTTAAGCGGTTATGGCGCAGTGGCTGGCGCGTCAGACCTGCGATCCGAGGGCGCGGCTTCAAATTCCAGTGGCGTACACCGATGAGACGCCTAATTTCTAGTTGTTCGGGTGCAGAAATTGCTGTCTCACATTGAAGCCCCCGATAGTGGTTACAAACACAACATCTGTCAAGTTTGATACTGAACCAATTAGTTGAAAAGTAGACAACACCCATCTGTGAAAAACTTCCCTGTCAAGTTTAGGTACGCCAGAGCTTAAAACAGTTTAAAAAGCGCAACATGCTCCCTTGGCTATTTAAATATTGACGGATTTGATAGAGATCATAATTTAAGAAATCTTAACGTGGCAGATGTGGAGGTTGTACGAGGCAAATCGAGTCGAATGAGAGACGCAGATGAGTACACAAGATACTACGACATCTTGTCGCGATTAGACGTATAAGTCAGTAGGCTAACGCTGGAATAGTTTGAAATTGCTTTTAACATTAGCACATCGATAAAAGTAAACGGAAATAATGGAAACTTTTGTTCTAATACCACATCAAAAAGTGGTTAGTCCTACTGTGATGTTTCCTGTAGAAGTAAGGCATGTGTCCGGCTGGTTATTGTAAACTATTATTTTAATGGTTGTAATAAACGGGCGAAGGTAGAGCAAAGCTCGTACAGTAACATTAGACGAAAGAGGTAGTAGAGCTGCAGTAGAGCTAAATTCGAAGCGTAAGACGCTAAATCAACGCGTGTAGTACCTGAAAGATGCCAGAAGACGACAGGAGACGCCTCTTCCTGGGCGGCGGCAGGGGCGCCGACGAAACACTATTCGACCGTAAACGAGACTTCTCTGGCGATTGCACCCGCTCTGACACTGATCCTGCAGGAGAAAGGTCGATCGAAGTCACGTGACTTGTTTACTCAAAGAAAACCATCACATCTGCTAGCTCTTCTGATTAGTGTCGCAAATTAAGAATTAACTGTTATAAGGGATTGTTAGAAATACATGACTATAATCGTTTGCTCATTTAGGACTTCAAAGATAATGAAATAAATTGACGAAACCTCTGGTATTTGAAGGCAGTTTAGATCGCATGTCGACTCGTATCGTAGCCACTAAGATCTCGCAACTACTTTTTTTTATTCAAATACCGTAAGCGATAAAATTAAGCAAGCAAACCGACACAAATATAACTAAAAGTAGACATACTGAGATATGATTATAAACTATTTAGTACAAAGAACAAAAACTAGTGTGAGAAATAAAAAAGAAATATGGAAATAAATACATTTGAGCAAAATTTGATCCAGTATATTAACTGCATAATTTCAAACTTTTTATTATGTACATGGAATTGGCTAATACTTTGGTGTGATATGGTTGCAAAATTATTTTTAAACTGAATACATCGGTTCTTCGAAGATATGTGAAGTCCGCCAATCCGCAGTGGGGCAGTGTGGTGGACTATGCCCTGATACCCTCTGTATAGAGGAGACCTTTGCCCAGCAGTGGGACATGTACAGGCTGTTATTTACATCGCTTATGCGTGATAGAATGTTTTATTTTTATTTTAATAATATAATATTAAAATACGTTTTTTTTTAATATTGCCGTTAAATTCTGATAGCCAGAAAAGTTTTAAACAGCCTAAGTTACTGTAATGAATCGCAGTTGTACAGTTAATTATTAATAGATTTTTAACAAACTATTTATGTACTCGAAGTGATAGACAAAGACGATAAGAAACACTTTTTAAAATAATCGAAAATATACCAATACGAATTACGACCGTGTCGGGTATTACATTATATTAAACTCTGATCATAAAAGACCTATTCTCAACATAACTTACTGTTAGGATATCTGAGTAAAAATATCAATAAGTTCCGATAAGCTGTGCATTTAAAAATAATAATGTATAAAATAAAATTTATCAACATAAAACAGACGACGGTATCAAATAACAAAGTAAAATACTAACCTTGTCGCACCCTCGAAAGGTCAGATGTGTTCCTGTGAAAGAGAAAACATTTTATTAACAAAGCTATCGCCAACAGACTAGTAAATATAGAGGGATATATCATAGGATAGAGAAAGTTCATGCTATGTTTGTTTATCGCCACAAATAACAGTAAAATTGATTTAGTATATTATACTAAAAACGACATTTCATACCATCGTTGTACAGTGAAAGAAATATTGTCTTTTTAAACGGTTTTATTTAGCTCGACACGTACGAAATTTATTTGTTTATTTGGGTCAAAATTAGAAATTGAAATTTAAGCACCTTCCCGTTGTCAGATTGATCAGAAATTTGGTATACACATTTAATTTAGATGACAATACAATATTGTAGTTTTCAGTGCACAAAAAAAAATTTGCAAACAACTTTTATGATTACTTTATCTTCTCCATCTTAAATTTATCATAGTTAAAAACTTGCTTACAAAAGTTTAAATTAATGTTTTTATTTTATTTATTAAACCGATTTTTTTTAATTTTTTTTAAATGCAACTTTCGAAGATGTTCAAACCCTCTTACTGCAATGGTTATACTCCTTAGATATTTAACAAATAAAATTTTATATACTTAGTATTTTGCTGGAATACAAAGCGGTATTAACCAATTTAAAATTAATTGATTAGCTACATTGACAACAATCTGTTTAAAAGACCTCGAATGCTCTTGTCATTGCAATAAGGCGAGCTTACCACGCGCTCCTCACTGTAAACGTCGATTTTTTTTTTTGGAACAGTTTCTTGCCACACCGTACGGATTTGGCGGAAGAATTTTCCTTCATGACCGAATCATCACGAAAATGCCATGGCAACCAGTAACAACTTTTTGACATTGACCTATACTTCCAAGTTAGTTAATTAAACCGTTATCAATTTGAAAAAAGTTATGAATTTTATTAAATTTTCGTTCGATTTATTTTACAGCAGTTTAATATTTCAATGTATTTCAAATTTATGTGTTGATTTTTTTTTTTGTTTTACTGTAATATGTATTACTAAAATTTTAATTTTTTGGTTCAATTTAGTTTTTTTCTTGTGTGCGTCCTTTGTCTGGTAGATAAATTTTCTATAAAAAATAAAATTTATTTTCTTTCTTTCTTTCAATTGCATTTAATGTCTTCATAAACAAAGAGTACCGGCGCAGAAGAAAAAAAATTTTAGTTATTAGAAATATAATACGTTTATCAATAATATACTACAGAAGGAACTCCGTTTACACGGAGTGATCCACGATACTCGCGCTTTTTTTTCTTAATTTCAGGAAGGGGTCCGAATCGCGCCGACGGCATTTAATTGGTTAACGTGTCGATTAATTGCGGTCCAACGCACGGATCGCATTCACCTGTCAAGCTGCCACCCCGGTGTCAACCCTTGTAGTCCGCTTGAAGCAGGGCCCAACAAGATCAGATCCACTCGCGCCAAATTGGCCCCAATGTAGTCACGACGCTCTGTTACTTTTAAACTTTCAACGGTATTCGACTTAACTTGTTTCCTTATTTTATTTATTTATTGACACTTTATGCACATACTAGTACAGAGGCGGAGTTAATGCCAAAGGCATTTTCTACCAGTCAACCTTAGGGTAGAAAGGTGTAGAGAAAGTGAGGTAGATTGCACAGATTTAACGTGTAGAACGATGAAAGGTTATTTTAAATACGCGATTCCACTGAACAGCGAAAAGTTTATTTAAGTATGTAGTTGAAAACGCTGTTAATTTTTTTATGAATTAGTCCCTACAACGGATAGCGTACAAAGAAAACTCGATGTAGTCACAACACGTCCGAGAGATTAATCACGTCGTTTTTTGTTAACGCCTGTGTAATAATTAGACGCTGGCAACATCACTAACGGTACCGCGCATACAGCGATTGAGTTCTTTTTTCAAAATCAGTTTGGACGCAGCAGTCCCTAAGGACATCGGTATGCCCCCAGTGCGCGGCTGATGGCTTTTTACGCGCGGAACCGCGCCTGAATCACATTTAGCCCGCCGGATCATATTTAATATTTATATAATACGACAAAACATTGTCCGGGTGCGGCGCGACGCATCATCTATCAAACGCGCTCCCAATATGGCGACAGACGCGCCTGCGCCGATGACACTCGCTAAAGCGGGCTTTTGATTGACTTGTTACTAAAGCCTTTCATATCGGGCCTCGCTAATAGGCTGTGTTCCCGCCAACATCAGTCCAATTCTGATACTCGTTTCGTCATAACCACGGTATTAATATGTTCATAGGACACAATGGAAAAACCGAAGAATGTATGCATAATAAAACAGCAGTGACATGTTTAATGTGATCATACCACTTAATTTTTAAAGAATTAAAAAAACAAATAAAGGGTGTCTCGGTAAGAGTGCACTTTTTCATTATAAAATAAAAACAAGTATTTTATGACAGAGTTGTGATATTTTTATTGTATTGTAAAGAAGACATGTTCCGATTAAGTATGGAATAAAATATCCGGCAAACGACCCCCACGGCTCCGATGAAAGGCCACATTACATGACTTTTGCACAGAGATGTGGCTGTATCTCACCTATGACGCGTTGGATTTCCGTTTTGAGCTCAGGAACTGTTACGGGTTTATTCGCATAAACCCGAGATTTATATACATTACATAAGGTATTTTTTAAACAATTATTGGTTTTTACATGTTTTTACACGGTTTTGTCTTTATACGGAGATTTACTTATTGACATTAGATAAGAGATTTCATGCCATAGACGTGTGCAGAAAACGCTTAATAAACGCTTGACGAATTTATAAAATAAAGCCGTATACAGAAAAGTTCTTTAAAAGACTTTTTTTAATTGATGTTGAATGAAAAACGAAAACGAAATGAAAAACGTTACATTCAGTATTATGTTTTAAAAGAATAACAACTTTTCGATTTTAAGAAATCCATTAACAATGACGTACAAAATGAAAATGAAGAAGTAATATTCCAAAGATCGTTTTCTAATATATACCTATATAATATTTCATCGAATGAAAATGCAGAATTTACATCGAATAAAAAATGCATATCATTTTGAATTACAATTCTTGTGTCATTTAATAAGACACATTCTTCTGTTTTTGTAATGGTTTAATAATTTCTTTGAGTCGTTGGATATAAATACTTATTTCAAACAAAAATTATTCCGTTTATACTGACTCGATCAACTTGCGCGATTGTTCGCGAAAATAAAATCCAACTACAACAAATATTTATTCCATAACTTTGCTAAGGACAGGACGATTGTTAACAATGGTGATGATTAACTATCGTATCCTTGAGTCTGAAATTCTTGGACATCTCAAAAATTCGCTACGAAATTTGATAGATACAACTGTTCAAATCCTCGTTTTTCTACGCCAGTATCCGAGAGGGCCACATACTATTAAAACGAGGAGCGCGTAAAATAAATTTCAACAAGACCAACCATTACATCAGGCCATTACGTAAACTATTTGAACAACAGTGGACGTGGAAAGCTAGCATTTGTTAAAGTTCCGTACACTTAGCGATGCATACAGAAACGCCAGTCATGGCCACGGTGGCGTGGCTTCGAAATTCTCTTGTTCGAAAACGGAACGCAGTCGACGCACGCGCCTAATTATGACGCGCACGTGTTCGGTGGCTACCAATCAAGCCCTATACAGGATGTCCGCCTTTAGTTTTTTCAATCGACTTCAAAAAATGAGATTCTCTGTATTTTTTTTTTTACCTCGGAACTTTCGACTGTGGGAACCGATTTCGATGATTCATTTTTTATTCTAAAGCGGTAGTGCAACAGTGACTACTAAAGGTACACTTCGTGCAACAGTGACTACTAAAGGTACACTTCGTGCAACAGTGACTTAAAGGTACCTTCGTGCAACAGTGACTACTAAAGGTACAGTGCAACAGTGACTACTAAGGTACACTTCGTGCAACAGTGACTACTAAAGGTACACTTCGTGCAACAGTGACTACTATAGGACACTTCGTGCAACAATGCTAAAGGTACACTTCGTGCAACAACTCTAAAGGTACACTTCGTGCAACAGTGACTAAAGGTACACTTCGTGCAACAGTGACTACTAAAGGTACACTTCGTGCAACAGTGACTACTAAAGGTACACTTCGTGCAACAGTGACTACTAAAGGTACACTTCGTGCAACAGTGACTACTAAAGGTACACTTCGTGCAACAGTGACTACTAAAGGTACACTTCGTGCAACAGTGACTACTAAAGGTACACTTCGTGCAACAGTGACTACTAAAGGTACACTTCGTGCAACAGTGACTACTAAAGGTACACTTCGTGCAACAGTGACTACTAAAGGTACACTTCGTGCAACAGTGACTACTAAAGGTACACTTCGTGCAACAGTGACTACTAAAGGTACACTTCGTGCAACAGTGACTACTAAAGGTACACTTCGTGCAACAGTGACTACTAAAGGCGTGGTCCCACCACAGTATCTATACACCGGAAGCAATTTTTTTTCAAGAATCTAAATTCAATGATTTGATTATTTCGAGCTTTTACCCGGTGTAAGTGAACATATTAAGGAAGGACATATAATTACACATTGTAGAATTTCAACAATGAACAAATCAATAAAACAACAAATTTTTCGTGTATACACGAACTGGCCGATGTCACACGCCAGCATACGTTTGCACGAAGACAGCGTTCATACTTATTAATAAAACTTAATTATTATCTTTTATTTTTCTTATAATGAGATTTTCATCTAATCAATTTCTCAATTTTTTATTTCTTTTTAATTTCTTTCTCGGTCAGAAAAAAATTAAAATGTAATTAGGCTTCTTCCGAATAAAGTTTATTGTATTTATCGTATTATTGCATCTATAAACATACTTCCAAGCCCATAGTAACTTATAAAAGTCGCAACTTACTACTAACCAGTAGTAGCTAATGGGTTAAAATAATTAGGTATCCCCACCATACCGTTCCTAGCGAGGGACCCACGCCAGATCCTTCCAGTTGCACACTC